GCCAGACCTCTCTCCTCTGGGCTCGGCATCCAGCGCGAGCGTGTCGTGCTCGAGGCAAGTTCGCACGCCTCTCCCGCTGCTCCTCCTGCTCTTTCGGTCCTGCTCGTTCCCATCCCACCTCCTCAATCTCCCCGGCCCCCCCCCCGCCTCCCACCCTTCCGGCTCTTCACCCTTCTCGTCTTCGCCTCCACACATCCTCCTTCCTTTTCCTCCTCCTCCTCCTCCTCCATCCCTCTCATCGCAACCTCTTTCCATTCCTCTTCCCCCTCCTCCCCCTCCCCCCATCCTGCTTTTCCCTTTCCCCTGCGCCTCCTCCTCTTCCTCCTCCTCCTCCTCCTCCTCCTCGTGCGCCATCCCCCTCCCTACACTCGTCTCCTGCCCTTCCCTCCCCCCCTCCCTTTTCTCCGCCGCTCCCCTCCCTGGCCGCACAGTTTCTTCTGCTACCTGGCTGCCTGCGCTGGGTTCGCGACCTTTCGATTCATGATGCGACAGGATCCCAACGGGACGCAGGCGCCGCCCCCGGCTTTGCCTTCATGGGCAAGGGCGGGCATGTCGCGTCAGGAAGAACAGGAGGAGGAGAAGGAGGAGCAGGGAGGGAGGGGGAGGATGCGGACGAGGAGGAAACAGACCAGAAAGGAGGACAAGTCAGGATCCGAGCTTGGGGCCTTAGGCCAGGCTTCTGGTGACCGTTGGGGACGAGTTCGGCACTCCCAGAACGCATGTTTGTACTCTGGATCCGGAGACGTTGTGCGGGCTCTCGGACCGAGAAATCTTTCATGGCCTTGGGTCCATCCCAGCAAGGTTTTGGGTCAGAGTCTCAGGAGTGCTTCGTGGGTTTTGTCGGAACGCTCTCGCGGGATTCGCCGTGCACGCAGGGGGGAACGGAGGACAACCCACGTTCACAAACGGCGGGCACCTGTGAAAACGCTGGAGGGATGATGATCGAATGACCTTCGGCCCATCCCGCCACCGTGCCTGGGTTGTGGGTCTGAGGTTCGGATGGCTCATGGTGCCTCGTGTGAATAGTCTTGGGGGCACCTGGGAAACAGTTTTTGGGCCTCTTGGGGGCCTCCCGGGGGGCTCTTTGGGGCTTATTGGGGCCCTCTTGGGGCTCCCTGGGGGCTTCCTGAAGCCTCTTGGGGGCTTCTTCGGGCAACCTGTGGGCGTTCAAGGGTCGACGGTTCGAAAGTTCTATTTGGGTTCCCCCCCTGGGCCCTCTCTTTGGGCCGTCCTGTGGCCACCTGTGGTCACCTTGGGCCGTCGTTGGGGCTTCTTTGGCCGTCCTGGGGCCCGCCGGGGCCGTCATTGCGCCCTCATGAATTGTTTTGGACGCAGGAGAAATTTTCGATGCGAGTATGAACAAATTTACGTCTCCCGAAGGGAACGGCACGACCTTTGCTTCTTCGGGTCTTCTTGTGGCGCCTCTTGGAGGCCTTAGGGGCGTCTTGGAAGCATCTTGGGCCGTCCGGGGGCCACCTTGGGCGTCTTGGGCCGGTCTTTCGGCGACCCGGGGCCTTCCTCTCTAGACCGTCCTGAGAGGCTCTTGGGGAGGCCTGCGGGGCTGCCCGTGGGGTCCACGGGGAGCCCAGGGAGATCTGGACCCCGCCGGACGAGGTCGGCCAGGGGTCGGCGCACGGGGCCGTTTTTCATAAATGCTCCGCGTGCGGATCATGTATGAAAAATGCAGGGATTTAGTATTAAAGACAACGAGGAGTTCGAGTTCATACATTTATGCATACGTGAATCATGTGTTAAACATCATTTATGATAAAAATCCGATGTATTAAAAACTGCCCTGTAGGCTGGGGTGGGTGGGTGAATTCCCGGTTTGGGGTCCCTGGGGGGTGGTTCTGGGGGGGAACGATCTCATGCGCTTAGAGAGTTCCAAACGGGTCGGCGGATTCTTCCCACCAGTGTCTCCACACGGGGGGCCGAGAGTTCTTGCTCGATGTCGACCCTCGCAGATTCAGAAATGAGACCCATTCAGTTGTTCTGGCTCGATATCAGCCGTCGCAGGTCTAGAAATTGTGGCAGGCGTTTCAGCTTCTCATCGTTCCAGCTGTCCTATGTTTAGAAAGTGTGGCAGGGCCAACGTCTTTTCATCATTCCAGTTGCCAGGAGTGGAGTCGCTCGGTCCCTCACAATATGATGAGGTCGTTGTCGCAAGCCGACGTTTCAGGCGTCCATCCGCCCAAACACCTTTGTTGGTATTCGAATGGTCGTCAAACTGTGCAGCAGGAGCAACCGATCGTAGGTTAGAACCTGGAAAAACCTGAGACAAAGGAACATGGGAAAGCATGACGAACGGCAACACAACATCAGGATCACTACAAAAGGTTATTCGAAAGATATGCTGACGATCGCTCCAAAGCGTGTCGAGGACCAATCAGCCCATGCGCAGTACGGCGACCATCAGCTCACTGCACCGCTTGCATGAAAGGTGCGCCTGGAAAGTAATCCAACCCGACGCAGTAGTGACCCGCCTGTGGCCCTGGGCGGCGCCGCGGAGAAGACAGGGCAGCACCACAGCCGCAGAGGCTGTGCGTACGCCCCCGCAGCGCGCGACCTGGTCGCGGCTGAGCCCGGGAGGCCCTGGATGGCTTCGAGGCGCCTGTGAAGCTCGGGTCAGCCGGCCGACGGCGTGATGCCCACTTGGTCTTCGGATGCTTTGCTGGAGTATCTTCCAGTGTTCCTGGGGGGCTTTGGGTGGGTTACCTCGGGGCGTTTGGGGAGCCCCTCGGGGGCTTCTTGGGAGCACGTCGGGGGTCCTGGGGCCATCTCGTGGGGGAGGGCCCCAGGGGCTTCTTCGAGTTCCCCTCTTGTGTTCCTCTCGGGCGCTCTTGGGGGCCTCTTGTTCCGTCGTGGGGCTCTCTTGTGCCGTCGAAGCCCGTCTTAGGGCCTCTTGGGCGCTGTCCAGGCTCTCTTGGGCGCTCTTGCGCTGGTCTGGGAGGCCTCTTGGGCAGTCTCTGGGGTTACAGAGACTGGAAACAACGAACTCTTGAACATCGTTCAACAACCGCAAGGCAGCTTATGTCCTTTGCCCCTCCAAGCCCTCTTAATGGGGTCGACTGGGAGCCCTCTCCGGGCGCCTCGTGAGCCTCTTTGGCCATCTGGACGCGATCTTGCATGCTCTTGAGTCTTATCTGGCGTGTTGGAGTCTTCCTGGAGCAGTCATGACAGGTACCTTTGGCATCTGGGAGGCGAAGTAGGGTGGATTTGGAGTCTCCGCAGGGCCCTGGAGATGCCTTGGGCAGTTCGTCGGGGGCCGCGCCCCCCGCTCCCCCGAGCCTTCAAGCGGGATTTTGGTTCCCAGGTGAGGGAGCACGGCGGAGGGGGACAGCCAAGTGTTTCCCACGCCTACTCTGCCGTTACTAAAGTTTTTGACCACTCTTGCAAATCCCAAGGCCAGACCTGCGGCCAGCGCGTCCTCGGGCAAGTCTGAACGACGGACATATGTTCATGCAGATCTGAAACCGCTCACCCCCGTAACATACAGGCGGAGTAAGTTTCGGAGGACGCGGAGTATGTTTTCTTCAGCTAAAACACAACGCGGAGTAGTTCAACAAGAACGCGGAGTAATTTGATCCACGTCAAAAAACGTGCGGAGTAAGTTTCTACACCGTAATGAATCTATAATCCTAAGGAGAAAAGGTGTGGGCGGGATCCGAAACCTACTCCGCGACAGGCAGATGCCATGTTGTAGGATTCTACGGGGGGAGGGGGGTCCGTCGACGAAATGGTCAAAACTTTGGTAACGGCATTGCATTCACCATCGGCAAGTGGTGGTCGGCGGATTCAGAGTTTGCCGCATCATATTCTGCGCGGCATCGGAGTGAGAGCATGAATCTGCATGTGGGCCGTTCATCATCCCGTGTAATTCTTGGACATGGCACGCTTCGTACTACTTGTGCCATCTGTGGGGGTCTCATGCAACAGCCCGATGTCGAAATGGAACCGCTTTCCATCCGTGTACGTGCTGGACATTTCAATTTGTAAGATTCGGAAGGGGGAGACATGAGAAGAAGGGGAGTATGATAGTGGTGAGGATTAGGAGAGTGATGATAAGGACGAGCGAAGAGTCGGCTTGGCGAGGATGGGGGTGCGATGGAATAATAGAAAGGGGCAGGTGATCGGGCGGGTGCATGGGGGATGGGAGTGGGGAAAGCACCTTAGGCTGCTGCTGTTCCTTCGCACCACATCTGACGTCCGACCCCTCGCCCTTCCCATTGTGCTGCTGTTTTTCCTACTCGCCGTCCTCGGCCCCAACTGCCTTGCATTCCCAAACTGACCTCATCGTTCGACGCGCAATTAGAACAGAGATCTGCGTACATCCGAGGAAGAGAAGGAGGTGGCATAAGAGCAGGAGGATGAGCAGGAGGACGAACAGAAGGAAGAGGTGGAGAGGGAGGAGGGTGAAGGAGCGTGAGTAGGAGGCGGATGAGTAGGAGGAGGAACACCGATGTAAATCCAAGGCGCATCAACGATGTTGTAATAAACCTTCCCTCCAAGTTCCCCCCCCTCATAGGTCCCACGCATGATTTGATATCTTTGCGGGACGCGTCCCAGTGGGAGACGACCGTTTGAGAATCCTCCGTCGTGCCAAACCGCAGTTCCTGGGACTTAAGCGCCGCGCCGCGAACCAATCTGACTGTTGCGTCCTCTCACTCCTAGATCGTGCCAGAACGCAGTTCCTGAGACATCAACGCAGCGACTGGATGTGACCGTGGCGCCCTGATACACCTACGTAGCACCATGCGAATCCTGTTAACTGTCGCAAGTGTTTCAGACGTATGTGCGCAGGGCTAAGGCGAACGTCGCAAACGTTTGAGACGAATGTGCGCGGCGCCACGGCGAGAGCCACATTTTGAAAACGACCTGCCCCCCCCCCCGTCAGTGACATTGACGCACACTTGAACGCCGATTGTGCGCGGAGTTACGGCGCGAGCCACATTTTCGAAAGGACCCGCCCTTCATCCGTGAAGCTGTCGCACATTTCAAGGCACATGCGCGCGGCGCTGAAACGATACCAGCATTTTGAAACCGACCCGCCCTCCATCTGTGAAATTGTTGCAACTTGCAAGCTTCAGGCTCATACGTGATGAGGGAGGTATCCGATGCATGCATGCGGCTCGCGCTGGGACGGGAGCGCCATTCGGAGCGACGGGAGCAACTCGCTGACCTTGAAGAGTGACCAGCACTGCAGCGAGAGCACGACTTTTGAAAGACGGATCATTCTGATTGAACAGCCAGATCGACATGCAATTCGGTCGCATCCTTTGCGTAGCACACCATGCACTGTGTAGTTGTTCTCAAACAACCGCGGCATCAGGGACGAGAAGAGCGCAGTAATCATATGGTGTAATTGTGGAAAGGGATGGGGGCATGGGGAGCGATGAGGGAGGCGGGCGAGGATGTGGATGCGGAGGAGGCGGGGTAGGCGGAGGAGGCGGAGGAAGAGGAGGAGAACGCGGTAGAGTAGTAGGCGATATTGTAGTTGTTGACGGTGGTGATGATGACGATGACGAGGGCGAGGTCGAGGACAGCAACGGTGACGATACGGATGACGATACCGATTCTTAGGGCGGTGGTGGTGATAATACGTATGTGGGCAACGGCTGAATGCACACGGATGATTGCACATACTGGCGGTGACAATGATTTTGGTCGTGTTGATGAGGAGTGGCTACAACGGTGGCGGTGACGGCGATCACGCCTACGCTGTTGATCATGGCGGTGATGCTGATGACTATGGTGATGACAATGATGGTGACGCTGATCAAACGATTTTCTGGTCGATTTGATCATCACACGGATTTGGATGGTGAGGTTGATGACGATGGTGACGACGCCGATGGCGATGATGATGATGCTGATGATGATGATGACGTGGCTGATGATGCTGTTGATGATGCTAATGCTGATGATGATGTTGCTGATGATGATGCAAATGACGATAACGACGACGATGATGATTGTGATGCTGATGATGCTGATTCGGATGCTGATGATTATGGCGACGATGATGATGCTGATGATGCTGATGTTTATGATGATGCTGATGCGGATGATGATGACGATGCTGATGATGATGACGATGATGATGCTGATGCTGATGATGCTGATGATGATGATGATGATAATGCGGATACGGCTGATGATGAGGCATCTGTTGGTGATGATGGTGGCGACGATGGTGCGGATGAGGACAACGCTGATGCTGATGATGGTAATGCTGATGCTGATTTTGATCATGATGCTGATGCTGATGATGAATATGCCGGTCGTGGTGGCGGTGGTGGTGATGCACATGCTGATGAGGATGCGTATTCTGATGATGGTGGTCTGTTGATGTGCTGCGGGCGATTGTGTAACTGACGATGCTGCTGACGGTGTTGATTCCGTTGATGGTCATGCCAATGATTGTGATGATGATGGTAATGATGCTGAGATAATGATGACGGCAGTGATGATGATACGGATGATGATGATGATGATGATGATGATGATGATGATGATGATGATGATGATGATGATGCGGATGATGAGGATGGTGATCATACTCATTCCTTTGTTGATGGTGGTGGTGATGATGCTGATGCTGATGCTGATGCTGATGATGGCGAAGGTGACGATGATGATGATAATGCTGGTGCTGGTTGAGATGGTGATAGTGATGGTGTCTGTGATGGTGATGGTGATGGTGATGATGATGATGGGATGAGATGAGATGACATGGGATAAGATGAGATGAGATGAGATGAGGTGAAGAGGAGTCATATCATGATGCTGTTGATGATGATCACGATGCTGATGACGGCGCAGACGATGCTAATGCTGATGCTGCTGGTGCTGATGATGCTGATGATGCTGATTCTGGTTGTGATGGTGCTGCTGCGGATGCTGATGCTGATGCGGATGCTGCTGGTGGTGATGATGCTGCTGCCGCGGACGATGATGATGCTGCTGATGCTGATGATGCTGCTGTTGATGCGGATGACGATGATTCTGAGGCTGCTGCTGCTGCCGATGATGCTGACGAGGATGATGGCGCTGATGATGATGCTGATGATGATGCTGATGATGCTGCTGATGATAATACTGATGATGCTGCTGATGCTGATAAGGATGCTGATGATGCTGCTGATGCTGCAGATAGTGACGATTGTGATGCTGATGCCGATGATGCTGACAATGGCGATGCTGATGATGACGATGGTGATGCTGATGAGGCATACTGTGATGACGTTGCTGAAGGCTATGACCCTGATGGTGATTACGGCGACGACGATGACGAGTATGATGATGATGCGGCCGATGATTATGAGCAGGATGCTGAGGATGCCGTTTCTGCTGTTGGTGGTGATGATGATGCTGTTGATGCTGATTATTATGATGGTGGTTATGATTACGCTGATGACGGTGACGATGATGCTGCTGCGGATGATGATGACGCTGCTGCTGCTGATTATGATGATGATGCTGCTGCTGATGCTGATGATG